ATTGCAGTCTAATATTAAAACTATACAAATCACCTTTAATCACTTTTATAAATTAATATTTGCCTTAATATCCCTTTATTTCAGAACCAAAATAATAATAAGAAATTACCCCTTATCTAAAAAGTATGGAATATTTATCCAAATATTTGTAATCATTTTGTAAAAATATATAACATTTAAAACACTGAAGATTGTGAGCTATTTCCCCCCCAAAAAAATACATTTCGGAATTCAGCTTCAACACCACAGCTGCTAAAAATGTTACGTTGTATATTGTTTAACAAAACAACCCAGTGCCTTTTTGTTGTGGGAACCAAGCGATGCTACCCTCTGTATCAGCCTACAAAGTACGTCATCTCTGCACCACTCTATTCATCTGCATAAACAACTGTGAGATAATCCACGGTAGAAAACCGTAAAAAAATCTGATTTATTTAAACTACATCAATAACCCGGATTTAATCTAATCTTCACAATAAATCAGGTTCTACCGAGATTTGAACTCGGATCGCAGGATTCAGAGTCCTGAGTGCTAACCATTACACCATAGAACCACATGAGTGAACAAGAGGTAAAGAACTACAACCTCTCCACCTTGCGGACAAAGTCAGTCATTACACATGTTAGGTCACAGCGACTTTAATGCTGTACACATACATATTGAAAGACACTTCTACCTTAGAGTAAATGTACTTCTGAACATAAACAAGGCTCCTTTCTGTTGTTGCCTCCCTCCTAATTCAGATGAAGCATTCTGTAGGAAGCCTGAATAAAAGTCTAAATATTCATGATGCCGTTATTATAGTCTTGTGTTATCATGATTAGATGTGATGTTATTGCAGATGTTGTGCTGGGAATAGCATTTAATCAGGAGCAGTGATTTGATCACCGTCCTTTTTCATTTCTGCAGCACAAGTCCCTTTGTTGTAGTTTTTGCGTCTTGCGTTTCGTTCAATTAAACCTTTCATCTGAATTATAACTTCCTTTATCGTTTTTGTAAATCTATTTGATTATTTACATGTTTTGCCTTTATTGTGCACTACTTCGCCTGCATGTTTCAGTGTGTTCGGCGTGAGATTGGGTCTTTAAATATATATCTTTTTAAGTTTGTCATGATCAAACGTTAGTAGACATTTCAATGGGTTGATTTGCAAAACCAGAAAAAGGCCATTCTTGAAAAAAAAATACATTCCAAAAAACGTAATTTAGGAAAGTTAATCAAAACGAATAGGCCTTTTTGTCGTTGTTGTAAATACACGTTTCATTGGTAGTCTATTTGATTTCTCAGCTTTAACGTAGTTATCTCTTATTGAAAATCAACGTACAATTGACTTGGACATAAATACGTAACTGCGTGCGTAAAGTGCCCCGAAGATTTAATGTAAAAATGAGACAATAATCCTATTTTTATCCAATTCGTCGCAAGAATAGATAATTATAGTGTTGTCCTTTATTATAGCAACTCGTATGAGGCATTACACCATGGGCCTTTTTGAATGCTGTCAATTAAAACTATAATTTAGATGACGTTAAAGTAATAGACGGATTTTAGAACAGTAAAGAATTACGTCTCTAACATCAACCCAAAACCCGGACTGAGACACTTCGCAGTCATTGCAAGAAAACAGAAATACATATTATAGCAAATTGTACAAGGCACAACAGCTTTTAATGCTGGACATTAAAGTGTAAGATGTAGATAACACTTTAGCAATAATCCGGATTTTATTTAAGTAAAGCATTGCGTGCAACATCCCCAAAACAACCCAAATCCAGACTGAAACGCCTCGCAGTCATTTACGCCTTTGTTTCCGTTGTAACTCCCTGTTAAATGATCATGTGTTTTGAAGTCTTCTGGTGTGCAGAGATGTTTGAGATAATTTAGAAAATAAGACAAGCATGATATTTTCATCGCATTCATTGCAAGAAATCAGAAATGTAATTTGAACTGTGTCCTTAATGAAAGCCAATTGTATCATGCATTAAAGCTGTAGGCCTTTTGTCAAACGCAGCATTGACGCTGATGGTATTTAAAATAAAGCCATACAAATAATCTGGATTTTAAACCGTAAAGGAATGCGTAAAACAACCCAAACTCAGACTGAAACACTTCGTAGTTTTAGCAAGAAAACAGACATTTAAATATATTAAAATCAAATCCTATGAGGCGTTACAGCTGCATCATGCATGTCTATTTTGAATGTAAACTACATCATATAGATCAAATTAAAGCATGTATCCGTTTGAAAAAAGTGAAGCATTGCGTAAAACATCACCAAAATAACCCAAAAATCCAGACTGAAACGCCCTGCAGTCATTAACGCCCTTGTTTCCGGTTGATTCCCCTGCATAGTGAAATGGTCATGTGTTCTGGGGTCTTGTGGTGAGCAGAGATGTGTCTGCTGCAGAGATGTGTCTGCTGCAGACAATGGCTTTAACATTTCGAGCTGCAGATGAGGCTCCGAGGCAGGAAAGGGTGTCCAATAAAACCATATAAGACTGTCTGGGCTAAATTGCTTTATGGCGGCTCCTCACTCTTCGGTTTGGGGGGGAAAGTCACGTTTAGTCTCCAAATGCATGCTGTTGCTTTATGACCCTGCAGCAGGATTATATGGCGGCAATAAAGGAGGGAAACTGCGAGACTTTGACAAAACAAGGAGGCAGAAAAGTGTCTCTGCGGACTCAAACTCAGACTGCATGCAGCAGAGAGAAGAAACACCTTGACGTTGGCATACTATCATAATACAAATATATAAAATAAATCCTGTTATTATCTGATCTAATGTCAGAGATAGTGCTTCATGATAGAGGATAATACTGTGAGAAGAAGAATGATTATATTGAAGTCGTTTTAGTGCAGTACAGCGGAAGTACATTTCTCTGTTTTCTGCACAAATATTAACATTACAACTCCATTAGAGCTATTCTAATCCAGCCAGTAGTATTTGGTGTCTGTGTACATATTTGACATGTAATGCAGTTTATTACAGCTACAGGAAAGTATAGAAGCTTTTCGTGTGTTTCTCTAATTCCTATATGACATCTAATTAATATGAACCGATACAAACATATCTTAAAATCCATTAGGCAACTATAAGAATATTACCAAACGTGTGCAAACATTATTATTATTCTAGTTGTAGTAGTTGTATTTTATGTGTATTTTTTACGAAAATTACTAATACAACTATAGTTGTAATTCTATAATGCAAATATTAATTAAGCTATATTATTATTATTATTAATATTATATATTTGTATTCTAGTAGTTTACTATGAAAATTACACGTAAAAAAGAATCTATTATGGAATAATGCAAACAAGCGATTTGATAGGGACAATATGAATTAGGCTATATTATTATTTTTAGCAGTAGTAGTTGTAGTTTTGTAGTGTTTTATTTGTGACTGTTTCTCTTTTGCTTAAATAAGAAATAACAATATAACATACAGGTAATCTCAACAAGGGATTGGATACGAAAAAAAAATATAATAATATCTATATTTCAGTATTATGTCCGTCATCATGGTCAGCCTGTAACCGATGTGGCACCAACAACCACTCTTTCAAACTGAACACAGTAATACAAAAAACAATAACAACAACAACAACAACAACAACACGGAAACCGCGTTAATAACAATGATGACGTCATCCATCTTTTATTTCACTTATTATAAAATCTCCCACGCTGCACTGCGGCTAACTGAGAGCAGATGAAGTCCTCGCGTGGTCACATGATGGAGGCTAACATAGCCCGAGCTTCTCCGGAGAGAGTTTGGATAACACTGACACACTGATAATCCTTTTAAGACCCCTACTCTAATAATAATAATATTAATAAACTACTGTTGTCACACACTCTGAGAGGAACAGTAACTGTGCGTTGATCTGAATTTAACATCAGCTGTTTACTCTCACAAGGAGGTAACAATGAAACATAAAGGAGATAACCATCAGATGCTGTCACACCGTGTAGCTTAGCATGACTGGTGTGTGTGTGTGTGTGTGTGTGTGTGTGTGTGTGTGTGTGCACGTGTCTCTGTCTGTGTGAGTGAGTGTGTCTTTGTGTGTGTGTGTGTGTGTGTATATGTGTCTCTGTCTGTGTGTGTGTCTTTGTGAGTGAGTGTGTGCGTGTGTCTTTGTGAGTGAGTGTGTGTGTGTGTGTGTGTGTGTGTGTGTGAAAGTGTGTTTTTCTGTGTATTTGGAAATGAAGCTTTCTCTTGAATGCCGCTGCAACAATTTCTCCCTTTCTGTCTTTACGTGCATGTGCGTGTGTGTGCGTGTGTGTGTACGTGTGTGTACGTGTGTGTATAAGTGTGAGGGTATTGTATTTGGAAAAGCAGCTGCAAGACATTTTCCTCTGTCTGCAGGAATGGTGTGTGTGTGTGTGTCTCTGTCTGTGTGTGTGAGTGAGTGTGTGTGTCTTTGTGAGTGTGTGTGTGTATACGTGTCTCTGTCTGTGTGTGTCTTTGTGAGTGAGTGAGTGAGTGTGTGTGTGTGAGTGTGTTTTTCTGTGTATTTGGAAATGAAGCTTTCTCTTGAACGCAGCTGCAACAATTTCTCCCTTTCTGTCTTTACGTGCGTGTGTGTATGTGTGTGTATAAGTGTGAGGGTATTGTATTTGGAAATGCAGCTGCAAGACATTTTCCTCTGTCTGCAGGAATGGTGTGTGTGTGTGTGTGTGTGTGCGTGTGTGTGTGTGTTAAAAATGTGTTTCTGTAAGTGTGTGTATTTGGAAGTGCAGCTTTCTTTTCAATGCATCTGCAACAAATTCTTCCTTTCTGTCTTCCCATGTGTGTGTGTGTGTGTGTGTGTGTGTGTGTGTGTGTGTGTGTGTGTGTGTGTGTGTGTGTGTGTGTGTGTGTGTGGGTGTGTGTGTGTGTGTGTGTGTGTGTGTGTGTGTGTGTGTGTCTGAGAGAGGGAGCATGATCGGCATTGGATTCACATTAACAACAGATATACAATACAGCTACGACAACAATAACAACAAATATTTCTATACATGCACAGTTTATAAAAGAAGAAAAAAATCGTAAACTTTTTTTAAAGAGCAAAATGTTAAAATCAGGGGAGACGGGGACGGTTGTAACACAGAGAAAACCCCATTGGACACACCTGAAATGTGTATTACATAAGCATTTAAGTCTTTCTTGTAGACCATTACATAGTTTGTTTTTATAATTAAAATGCTGCAAACTATATACTTTTGTTTTCAAGTATAAAAAGTATGATAAAACGGAAGCTTATGGAAAGTTATTCAGATGTTTTTCATGCATTTTCCTTTAAATATCCAGCAACACAAAGCCTCATTGCACTTTTGCAGGAAACTTGTTTAAGAAAAGGTTTGAGGTTTGAGTTAAAATAAGTCATTTGTTACATATCTGTTAAAATAAGCCAACATTGGCTTTTGGTTTCACGTAACTCCATTAATTCCACGGGTTACACACAATGGATTTTGTGGATTTTATGCAAATGAGTGTATTTATGACTTTTCTCGGGTATGAAAGTACAACCAAAGATACGAGCTGTATGCAATAACATCTTTAAAGTTTTGGATAGAAAAAAGCACCTAACCCTAACCCTACACCTCATCATGATTGACACTAAAACGTCCTAATATTTAGCAGGTTAATGCCCTCAAAGGTTAAGAGGTCATTTAAATGCATTGGGTATAGGATCTAAAACCAATAGAGCATCAGGAGTGCAAACTCAGATATCTAGAAAGGACATTTAAATCTGCATTCATTTATTTGTTGTAGTGTTTTTATTTTTTCTACTTAAGCAGCGGTGTTGTATTTGTACTTAAGTAAAGGATCTGAGTACTTCTTCCAACACTGCCTCAAAAAAGAACATCCACTCTACTTGAGTTTTTTCACTTTTCTTCTGACACACATTTGACTTGTTGATTTCACGGGGAAAAGCATTTCACATTCACAAAAAGGTACATTTGGTTTTTAGTTAATTGATATGTAAAAATTCTGTAAGGATTATATCTCCATCAGCAATGAGACTGAATAACAACAGCACGTCTGGACACAGTGCATGTGTGCTTTGAGTGTTAAATCAAACTGGGTCATGCAAAGTAAATATAGTTTTTAAACTAAATCCTACAAATGGATCAATTAAATGCATTAAGTGTTGTTTGGATTATTAACCACATAAACAGACTCTGAATATATTTGGCTAATATTATTATAATTAAGTATCTATTATTACATATTATTATTAAGTGTTAGGCTTCTATTTGTTAAGGGTCCTTTCCCAAAAGTACCCCCCCCCCCCTAATGCCAAATAAACACTCTATTTGTGTCTTTAACAGACGCGGTGCATTCCCGCCTGGCACAATGAAAGCAGTTTTATATGAGGACAATAGTTTAAGCATTAAATCATAAAAAATGCAATTTGCATTTTTGGCAGAAAGCACAGACCATTTATGAAGTAAGTAGCTTCAGTTTCAGTTTTAGCTTCAGCTTCAGTTCTGGAAATGTGAGATATACAGCTTTATCAAAACCAGATGTGTTCTCCAAAAGAGCGAAGTCATTGATATCATCTAATATGTTGGTTTTAAGTTCAGATTTATGGATGTTTTTGTAAATGTTAGCGTTATTTACCCCGGGTTAAAGGTAAGCTGTCACATGCAGATGGAAGAGTTTAAGTTCTTCAATTTCCAACAAGAAAAGACCAAAAGACGTTGCAAAAGGAATATCTTTTTAAACAAAAGTGTTACAACACATCCTGGTCTCCCCCCTGCAGTCTTTTCCACCTCGGTTAGTTTTCTAGCTCCAGATCGTCATCTTGGAGCACTGCGTCTCTTTTCATCTCATCTCTCCTGGACCAAAAACATCCCAAAAGCGGTGTATCCCGTCACTCGTTCGGACCCCTCCTCTCCCGGATCATCAGCTTCTTCATCTTCATCCTCCTGTTCTGGAACCAGATCTTCACCTGCCTCTCGGTCAGGTTCAGCAGCGCGGCCACCTCCAGCCGCCGGTCCCGCGTCAGGTACATGTTGTACAGGAACTCCTTCTCCAGCTCCAGGGTCTGGTACTTGCTGTACGGACACCTCTTCTTCCGGGTGGACTTGGCGTAGATCCAGCTTGCGGCAGGATTATCTGCAGGAGAAGAAGAAGATAAATGGGGGGGGGGGGGGAGGCGGTGAGTTTTAATGTAGCTTTCATCCAAAGAGAGTTATAATACATATAATATAATACTCAGAACAGCAAGGAACATGCAGACATTCACTTCAGATGAGCCATGTAGGTGCTGCAGCATTAGTTTCAAATGAGCTAAAAACCCTTTAAGTACTACTGTACAAAAAGGTTTAATGGCCAAGATGCTGTGGAGGCAAACTGGTTTTCAGTCGGCAACAGAACATGTGTTTAAAAAAACGAAATGTATTATGTATTTATTTCAACAAGGACCTACAATACACTCATCAGAGAAGAGATTCATTATGCCAGATTATAGCTGATAGCTCATTTCCATCTGCAGTGTAGTTTTAGCATCCCATTAATTTGTGTGTGTGTGTGTGTGTGTGTGTGTGTGTGTGTGTGTGTGTGTGAGTGAGTGTGTGTGAGTGTGTACAGTCAGGAATGATCTGCAAAAGCACACTAAGCAACAACACACCCTAAAAGAACGAGGGTGCATGCGTATTCTGTTCAAAAGTACAAAATGTTACAAATAAGTGTGTGTGTGTGTGTGTGTGTGTGTCTGTGTGTGTGTGTGTGTGTGTGTGTGTGTGTGTGTGGTTGTGTTTTTTGGAAATGCTGCTTTCTCTGGAATGCAGTCTTCACGTGTTTGTGTGTGTGTGTGTGTGTGTGTGTGTGTGTGTGTGTGTGTGTGTGTGTGTGTGTGTATAGGTGTGTGTTGGTGGCTGTTTGTATACATAGATGTGTGTGTGTGTATGTGTGTGTGTGTGTGTGTGTGTGTGTCATTGACTGTGTGTCAATGTAGATGTGTGTGTGTGTCGGTGTGTGTTTCAGTTTGTGAGTTTATAGAGGGATCATGATTCGCATTACACAACAGATATACACAGCAGCAGCAGCAACAACAATGACAACAAACACACACACACACACACACACACACACACACACACACACACACACACTCACATACAATGCCACTTTACCATTAAATGTTTTGCTTAAAAAAACAGTGACGCTAATTCTGTTGTCATGACCAAAATGCTCAAATATTGGTGTGTGAGTGTGTCTGTGTGTGTGTGTGTGTCTGTGTGTGTGTGGTGTGTGTGTGTGGTCTGTGTGTGTGTGTCTGTGTGTGTGATGTGTTGGTCTTGGTGTGTGTGTCTCTGTGTGTGTGTGTGTGTGTGTGGTGTGTGTGTGTGTGTGTGTGTGTGTGTGTGTGTGTGTGTGTGTGTGTGTGTGTATGTGTGTGTGTGTGTGTGTCTGTGTATGTGTCTGTGTGTGTGTGTTGGTCTTGGTGATGTGTGTGTGTGTGTGTGTGTATTGGTGTGTAGTGTGGTGCTTGGTGTGTGTTGTGTGTGTGTGTGTGTGTGTGTGTTGGTAATTGGTGGTGTGGTGTGTGTGGGTGTGTGTGTGTGCATGTGTGTATGTGTGTGTGTGTGGTTTGGTGTGTGTGTGTGTGTGTGTGTGTGTGTGTGTGTGTGTGTTGCTGTGTGTGTGTGTAGTGTGTGTATGTCGTGTCTTGGTGTGTGTGTGGGTGTGTGTGTGTGTGTAGTGTGGTGATGTGTGTGTGTGTGGGGTGTGTGTGTGTGTGTGTGTGTGTGTTTGTGTGTGTGTGTGTGTGTGTGAAAACATTAGCAGGAACACATTTTATGAGCTTGCAACTGTTGACTCATTACAAATTAAAAGAAGCCCAGCTCCATAAATAAAGACAGCGTTAATCCATCACATTCTTTATTTCTCCATATTGCTCCTATTAGCAAAACACTTGTATGAGCACTACGGTTGTTTATGTCCTCATTTCACCCTTTCCTCAATCATTTACCATAAAGTGACGTTATGTAAAAAAGACGTTGCAGGTAGACCTAAGATATAGACATGTCTTTGGGAGGACACCAAGCTATAATAAATACAGAGGAAAGTCTAAATCTGTGTGTTGGTGAAAAGCCAGACTCAATTTTACAATTATTAAACTGCAGTCTGGAGGATCTGAAAGTGCCTGATCTGAAATGCTTTATCGGCCACTTTAAAATAAAAAGAGTGTGTTAGTGGATAACTCAACAGACAGCAGCTTTGGGTTGTTACACACACTCATTCTGCAGAGAGGACATCTTTGTTTCTCTATCATTTATTTGTAAGGAACTGCCTTCAGGCTGGCACAGGTGTAGGCCCATGTTTAAGAATAAGTCGAATTGTGGCTATTTAAAATAATGGAAATCTAACAGAAATGTATAGGATTTAATGGCCTCTTTACTAAATACAATTGTCTTTAGAAACACTTTGAACACATTTAACATATAGCTTAAATGTTCTATGCATGCCAGGGTGCACACACTAATTGAAAATAATAGCAAAGCCAGTATAATGTATTTGTATTATTATTACTATTTATGGCATTTCTTTAATTATCATAATATAAGACCTGTCTGTCCTTTTTGTTTATTGTAATTCAAGCTTTTTAAAATATTATAATTATTTTAAAGGTTATTTAATGCTCTTTGAGCCATGCTACATTATGATTATATACACTAAATTGCTAAGGTCGTTTCTACAGAGACTGTTTAGTTTAAATACGCTTTAAGCCTTCCTGTAATGCAAGATAAATATCTGCACACATCGGCTCAGAAAACGCAGTGACAAATAGTTAAATAACAGCTATAGCACCTTAATTATTTTAATGGACAATAAAGTTTAACATTTCCCAGTTTACAAGACATTTATAGGCCTATAAAAGTCACACACACTTACTAGCTTACTTAGGCCACATTCTCCCTCTCTGTCAGACACACACACACACACACACCTGTGTATTGACACCTCTAAAACGCTATAATAAACATTCCTGAGTTTGGTATATTTACCCGGGTCTATCATAGGATTTTTTTTCTTCTCCTCGTTCTCTTTCTTGGGCTCCGTCTTCTTACCGAGCTCCTCCACGGTGCCAAGCCGCTCTAGGACCACCTCAGCCGGGCTGTTGAAGCTGGATTCCTCGGGGCTGTCGGACGGAGGTGAACTCTCCGGTTTAACCGCCGCATACGTCGGTGTTGGATCGGAGAGGTCACCCTGAGCGGGGACACACCCGGAAAACCCATCAGATGCATGGGACAAAGGGGTCTCCAAAGCCGGGGTCGAACCCTCCCAACAGCGGACGAACCTGCTCTCTGAAGCCGCCGATGATGCGAGGTGCTCGGCGTGATTCTGCTGCGTCCACGGGTGGTGGTGGTGGTGATGGTGGTGGCTCAGGAGGTGTGGATGTGGATGAAATAGGCCCGGATTGGACTGCAGCTGCGGGGAAGAAGGCGCAGAGGAAGTGGAGGTGTTGGCCCAGGGAGAAAAGCCATTTAAGCCCGTCTGTTTGTTGGAAAAATGTGAAAAATCCGGGATGGGGGTCCCCTCCTCCTCCTCCTCCTCCGCTCCTCTCCGGGCTGGCTTTCCGCAGCCGACCGAAGAACCCTGCAAGCCTCCCGGGATGAAATGCGCACCGTACGGCTCCTCAGTCTGGAGCCCCATCATGGAATAATAATTCGTTAGCGACATGTTTATTTTATTATTTCAATAAAAATACACTTAAGTGCGACTGTAAAACGTTAGATGGGGCTGGTATAGTGGGCTTACATCCTCCCCTAAAATGGTAGTATTTTTTTTTTCCTGCCCTTACCTTCTCCTCGGCTGCTTATTGGTTATTCCACTGATCACATGGTTGGACTGTATTTACCCAGTATAGGAAATAAATCTCATCGTTCTTTTGTGCTCAGAAATGTGATCGTAGCCTCCGGCATGCTGCCAGATGGCCTGACTGTAGCGCTATGGCTTTATAAAACTCTGTTCCTGAAACACCGTTTTACAAGCAGAATAAAAAAGTAACAGGGAGTCGTTTACGAGCGAGTGTGTGTGTGTGTGTGTCTTTTTGTGTATTCAGTATAACATGGGCCTAGTCTTCTTGTGCCAAACCACTTTGTAATGAAGGCTTTGTGTTTTTATAATTGATGATAAAACTCCTAAATGTCGTTTTAAAGTGTAACGGGATTTAGATTCAAGAGGGATGGACTTCCTTTGATTGCTTTGGTCTTGATCTGACTTTATACGCATGGTTGTCTTTCTTGACAGAATTGAGGGAAAACTCCATCGAAGTTCATGGATGGCGATTTAACGTGAGTTTCTTTTTGCATTTACTAACCAAAAATACAGTATCTTCTTTATTTGCATTTGTGTCAGTGCACTGGTTTTACATCAAGCTGTTATTTGTTTCCTTGCGTGCTCAACAACGTAACCTTCTTAATTATGAAATGACTATTTTGACTTCTGTTGTAAAAATGCATGTAAAAAAGAAAGCATTTTATTTCTTTTGGATGTCATTTGGTTGACACCCTTTTTTGTCCCGTGAAATCCATGTATTTCCAACTTTTGTGAGTTTTAATTTTGACTAAAAACTAGGTGTGATTTAAGTTAAATAACCCAATTAGATTACCTGAGAAAATTCATGTTTTGCACCTTGTGATTCAATGGATTCAAAGTCTTAATTTGTCAATTGCAAAACAACAATGCGATATGCGTAAAATAGAATAAACAAAAAATAGAATAGACATCAGAACAATATATAACATATCACTTTAATATCATACATATTTAGAAACTCTGAAATACTGAAAACTATGCACTAAAAATCCATATTTGGACTTGTGCCAGATGAGTTTAATGACTTTGCCCATTCACTGTTACCGTGCCATGTTTGAGTGTGACAGTGAGATCCTATTGGCTGCAGCAGATAATGGGGGCGGGGCTTAGATTCACGTTCTAACATAGACCTTGATCGCTGTCTGCACGTGGAGCGCCACCTGCTGTCCGGATGAGTCAAAACAAAACTTTATTGATTTTATTTTGTTTATTTTTGGTTATGAATGCTATCAACATGCCAAGGACTGCAAAGAATATGAATAACGTGTCTGTCTATATTTGGCACATTTAATGATGGTAATTTGTATGTTAAATAATGTCCTTAAATAAATAAAAAATGTTTTGTAACAGCAGCATGTTAACAGACGTGAATAAAACATACAAATAAATACAAAATGAACAGTAAATACAGTATATTCTTATGAGTAAAACATACATGAATACATATTTGGAGTACACAATATAAAATAAACAACATAAGACAGTTATAGACCAATACAACCACATATACAAATGTAAAATAAAAAATGTATAATTTATACATTATTTATTTTATTTAGAACATTTAAAAAACAACACATATCTCAGTAATAATATGAAAAACTAAAATATATATGTTTAAATGTGTCTGTGTTGTTACAAAAAAAAGAGAGAGGCTGTTAAGGTCCATTTTATTGTGGGTCATTGGTTGAATGCCTTTTAGTTCCAAACAGAAACACAATCCCTCCTTTCATCTCCTTTCACCACACAAACACACACAAACACACACAACACACACACACACACACACACACACACACACACACACACACACACACACACACACACACACACACACACACACACACACACACACACACAGAGTTAGTTTGTGAGACAAGAGAAAGAATGAGAGGGACAGCAGACCGTCTATTGCCCCAATAAAAGTCATTTATTTGAGGAAATGGTGGATGTGACTTGTGAGTGTGTTAGGTCTGTGTGTGTGTGTGCGTGTGCGTGTGCGTGTGCGTGTGTGTGTGTGTGGTGTAGTGCTTGTTTTGCGGTTCAAGGTTCATTTCCAGCCTTGGACTCACTGAGTGTTTCCGGTGTTTAAACCCCAAAGAGGAAAGAAAAGAGAATACAAATAAGATTGTACTTCTTTTATTTTATAGTTTGACGTAACCTAGGGCAGCAATCACATGGCTATTAACCTGCTTTTTGATAGCGTTGTTGTGTTTACAATTTAAGCACTCAACTGAAGTGTTAGCCTTAATTTCCCTTCTGGGTGTATTTTTATAGCAGAAGTGATCAAAATGTTATTTGATCACTTCCTTATTAAAGTAACATCCTGTTAATGACCTCAAACTGCAACAAACAAGCTTTAACATAAGACATTATGAAGCAATTAAATACAAATACATTTTATATTGTTTAACATGGAGGCGGTTAATTCCCAGTCACACTAACCTCTAAGTGTCACATGAAGGTTTGACTCTTTCCTAAATGGAAAATGCTTTTTAAACTATTGGAAAGTGTGTCGTCAAATGTTAATGTTTTTACACAAAGTAGAGGATTACACACTATCACATGTTGAGAAAATGTCACCCAAGGCATTACACAACAAATAACAGTTCCTTTTGAGAGATATTGTGTCACACATTTTTTATATATTGTCTTTAAGCGTGCATTTATTGAAACATGATACATGAAATATTGCAATAAATGCAAGGACCCACACATTTAGAGCATTTTACAAATCACAAAGTAAGGAGGAAAATCCACAAAGAGCCCACAAAAGGAAAAGAACGATACAGAATATTTAAAAAGGAAGTGGCTTATCTGTTATTTGCTCGAGATGCGAGAAAACATGGGGCCTAAACCTGAGCCCTGGGGTTCTCCTTTAATGGCAGGAAATAACTGCATTTATCCATTTGTTTTTACTTTGTATGTATGTCTCATTTAGCCTGTCCAAATGGTTGAATGATATCTGAGATGGTTTCCAATTATTTCCTGATTAAATTGTTCTTAATTCATAATCCAATCCAATCCACTTTATTTCTATAGCACACAGAGTTGAACAAAGTGCTGTACATCAACAACTGTAAAAACATAGCATAAATAAAAAACAGACAGGACATGAAACAAATGTAAAACACGAGACACTGAAACCAGATCAGAAGCCACAGACTGAGAAACTCTCCTACATAAAAACACCTGGCCTGCAAATGCCACGGAAAAGAAGATTGAGATTTCAAAACAGGCAGAGTTGGAGCAAGTCTAACCTGGAGGGGCAATTCGTTCGGAGCTGCAACAGCAAAGGCTTGATTTAGGGACGACCAGAAGGAGTCTGTCAGCAGACCTCAGTGACCGTGTGGGCAGGGGCGCCGCAGGGATTTTGGGCCCCATGAAAAGATATCACATTGGTTACTTAGACATTTTTTTCTTAATGTTCTAAAATTATTTTAAAGTGTATTCTAAAATTGACTGGTAGCCAATGTCAAGAGGCGAGTACAGGCGTAATATGTTCACGCCTGCCTGTCCTTGTAAGGAGGCGTTGCAGCAGCATTCTGGACCAGATAGGCGAGACAGGGAAGCCTGGCTTACTCCAATGTACAGCTCATTGCAGTAATCCAGATATAAAATTATTATTTGAATCATTAAAATCGCCATTTTTTGTTTATGTTGTCATTTTATTATGTTGTTCATTCTGTATAATGACATATATTGGACTCATGTCAGTGCTTGGACAGGGATCCCTCCTCAGTTGCTGTCTTTGAGTTTATTTCCAATATCTCTCACCACTGATGAGGTTTTGTTTTTTTAAGTAAATGTTTGAGTAAGTTATATTTCAGGTTTCATAAAAGGTTGCAAACAAGTTGAACCAAACACAACAATGGCCATTACATAAGATAAGATAATGCAGGATAAAATATCTTTAATGTACCCAGTAGAGATCATTTGCATGACCAGTCAGTGCTGCTATATTATATGTTATCAATTGAATATTGCAATATGATTTTATCTGTGCTTTTGTGTCTGTTTTATGTTTTTTGGTGTGTATTAAAGTGCTTATATGGACTTTAATATCCTGTCAATCCATAGTTTTATTTTGAATACGAATCTTGTCTGATAACAGATTGATTAGACCATAGATACAAAATAAAATGTGCCATGTAAATATAAATACTTTAAATATTTTGACAGAGAAAAGGGTTTATTATATTTATGTTGGCTCTCCACATGCAGACATTTTTTGTCAGCTTAAAGCAGAGTAACCATCAGATTTAAGAACATGCATTTGGGAGAAACAATGTTAGTAATATTTAGTAATATTTGTAATCAAACATTTCGATATTAACTAGTCTATGTTTTATAGTCCTACAAATCTACTCTGTGTTTTTTCAAACTTCTGGATTATTAATCTAACAATTCAATTCAGTTCAATAGCTTTATTAGCATGACATTAAATACATTATTGCTAAAGCTCAGTTGCAACATCCATACACAAATACACACATGTAAACACAATGCTAAATGATTAACATATAAGAATAACATGTTGTTTTACAAGGAACACAAGGAAGGAACATTCATTCAATTCATATAATACATTAATATAAAATAATAAATGTGAGATGTGAGACCTGGTGTAGCAGCTCAGTCCGATTCCCATGTGGCAGAGAGACAAACTGTCCTCCCAGAATGCAGCTTTTCTTCATATTCCCCGAGTACAATTTTTCATTTTCTTTTTTAGATATTTGAGAATGCTTAGGCTACTATTGAGTTTTGGGAAGAATTGTTTCCGTACAGGTTCACATTTTTGGCATTGTGTGAGGAAGTGGCGTGCTGCTCTGTTTCCACAGCAGTCCCTCCAATGACAGTTATCTAAGCACTTTCTTATTCACATCATGCCACAGCATGTGACTTCCATTCACTCGGAGCATGTCTTCAGTCTCGGGAAGAGGGCCCGTCCTCATGGTCCTCCTCTCCGGCCCTCGGTGACTCTGACCCCGCCCTCACCTTGCTCTACCCCCGGTGTCACAGCCTTTTACACTCGGCCCAGTTCTTCTCATTTTGCTGTTACTGGATCCACTTCATCTTCTGTAAAAAAAATGGGTCATAAACCGTTAGCAGGACTGTGTTTG